TTCAATATATTTCCTTTTTTCAGGATTAGATCTGCAAAGGCTATAAAAATCCTTTGTGATCTCCTTTGTATGTTTTATTAATGTGTAGCTTATGTTTGATATTCCTAAGGCTGTATTTGCTTTAAGCTCTCTAAGTATTTCCTCTAATTCTTTTTTTTTATTCATTCTTCTAATTCCTTATACTAGGTCTTGTTTATTCAATCTTTTGAGTTATATACTCTTTTTTATTCTTCTATCATTTCTTCAAGTTTGGTTTTCTGTTTTCTAAATTGGTTTTTAAAATAAGCTGCCAAACCATTTAGAACCATATTTGGTTTTGATATTAAATCAATCTTTTCTTTGTCTTGTATTATAAATCTGTCTAGAACAATCTTTTTGTATAGTTTATTTAGTAAGCTGACAATTATTTGACCTTGATTTGTCTTAATTATTTTACATCTTCTGTTTATGTTTTCTTCTATTTGTTTTCTTTGTGCTCGTTCTCATTCTTCTTTTCTTTTTTCTTTAAATATTCTTTGCCAACTTTTTATATTATCTATTCAGGCTTCTGACTACTGTCTGTGTAGTTTTGGCAATGTCACTTCTAGCTCTTTCTCTATACTTTGAATTGTTATTTATTTCAACTTCTTTATTATTTTCTACTTCTTGATTCTTCTTACTTTTTGTTTTTTTGATTATTTGCTAAAGTTCAATAATGTGTTTGTGTTTCTTTGCTCTTTTCTGGTTTAGTTTTCTATTTAGCTCAGTGTTAAATATCTTCTTCTTTGGGATTTGCTTGTTTGCCACTTCAATTATAGCTTCTTCTATTGCATTCTACATTTAGTTTAGTACCTCTATACTATATTTTGTTTTTATATTATTATTTTTTAATCATTTTAATAATCTTTTTCATTTTAGCTAATTTTGTAACTTTCTTGTATAGTTTTTCTAGTCTTCTTGTTTTGCTTCTTCATATAGATATATTGTTCTTATTTGGTCTTTTCGTTTAATTTCTGCCCTACTGCTGTTTGCAATTACATATTTCATTCATATTTTTGTTGTTATTATTTTATAATCGTTGTCTGTCAAATCTTCTGCTTCTTCAATATTAGCTTTTTGTAGGCCTGATGCTAGTGTTTCTGACAACCAAATATAATCTATTCTTGTTGCAGTCTCCTGACTTGACTATGTATATGCTTCTTTTGTCAAATACAAGTTTCTGTATGAGTTTATAAAATTTTGCCTTCTAAGCCAACTAAATATTGATAGTCTTTTGTAACTTGATGTTTGTGGATGTTGTCTATCTAATATGTTATCTACTATATGATTAAAATTTCTTAGTACAACTATTTTTATATATCTTTTTTTATTTGTTACTACCTTTACAATTCTTTGCTGTATTTTTTTGCTAATTGATTTGTTATTTGGTGGAATATATATTCCTAATACTACTAATTTTAATTGTTTAAAATATAATCTCACCTTTAGCATGTATTTACTGATTCTTTTAACTGCTCCTATATGCTTTTTCTACTTTTTATTTATTAGTATTCCTATACCTAAACCTTTTTTCTTGTTTATTACTGCACTGGTCCAATATTTTTTGTACTATGTATTATAGCTATGCAGTAAATATTTTTCCTCTTTTTCTATAATATTTGTTTTCATTATTTCTACTATTGTGAATTCTTCTTTTCTTGTCTATTCTAGAAGATTTTTCACCTTTCAACCTCTTGTTTTAAGTTTATTAACATTGTGGCATGTGATTTTTATTTTCTTTTTTCCTTGTTTCTATTTTTCCTTTAGATGTTTATATCTTGTTTTTATGTTTTCTATTTTTTCTTTTTCTTTTTTCTTTGTTTCTCTATAGTGCTACTGAACTTGAATGTACTGCAGTTGTATAGGCTATTGAACATTTTCATAAATACCTTAGAACTGCTAAATTCATTTTAATTACTGACTACTCTGCTTTTAAGTAGTTACAATTTGCTAAACCTAAAGAATACTTAGAAAGATAGATTTTAAAACTCCAATCCTATAACTTTAAAATTATTTATAAACCAAGAAGAGTTTATTCTAATGTAAATGCTTTATCTCAACTCCAGACTTCATACTAAAACTCTTCTTTATAAATTTGGATCTTTATTATAATTTATATAATTATATAGAATTAAATAAGTTATCTGACTTTTTATTCCAGGAACAGAGTAAACAAATACAACATTATGCTAAACATTTTATTACTAAGAAAGAATGATTATACAAGAAAAACAAAAAGAACCCTCAGTGTTCTCTTTGTGTTATCAAATGGAATAAAGTAGAACCTGTTCTATATATAATGCATAAACATCCTATTGCAAAACACTTAGGAACAAATATTATATACTATAAAATAGCTAAATAATATTATTAGAACCAAATATATCAAAATATACAAAAATATATTAAAATATGTAAAAAACTAAAAGGCAAATAAACTGAACCTCTTTATCCTATTCAAATAGGACAAGCCTTCAAACAAATTAGAATTGACTTAGTAGAACCTTTATTAATTACCAAACAAATAATTGATATATTATTGTTGTAACTAACTATTTAATAAGATGGTCATAAGCCCATGCTATACCTGATGCTGAAGCAAATATCTTAGCTTAGTTTATTTTCAAAGAAATTATTTGTTGACATAGAACATCAAAGATTATTTTTTCTGATCAAGAAATAAATTTTATTAGTGAAACTGTTTGCATACTATGTAAAAAGTTTTTTATCTAATATAAGTTCTCTTTATTATATTACCCATAGATGAATAGAATAGTTAAATATCTTAATTGAACCTTATGTAAATCGCTTGCTAAAGTAAAAAAAGATAATAACTAGATTTATATATACCTGCTATACTGCTTGTTTATTGAACAAAGAAGCATACTATAACTAAATATACTTTCTTTTAGCTTGTATATAATTACAAGCAGTTTTTTCTATTGAAGCTTTACTATCTGTTAAACTCTATAAAGAAACAGAATACAACTTACAAGATAGTATATTGCACTAAGCATTTAAGCTTATTAACAAGCTATCTGAATTGCAGAACAATGCAAGAAAAAAGACTAATGAATTACAACTGAAACAGAAAAAATACTTTGATACCAAAATTTGTTATGAAACATTCAAAATTGATAACAAAGTATAGATAATTAAAAAAGATATAGAACATTTTTAATTAGCTAAATTCGAAGATAAAAGAACTGGACCCTTTATTATTCAAGAAAAATTAAAATATGGTATTTATAAACCTTGTAATAACAAAGGAAAAATATTGCAAAAGTACTATAATAGTAATCATCTCACTAAATATTATAAAAAAAAATATGAAAACCTTTTGTTCTTATCAAATAACTAAAATTTCTAGAAGAAATTTCTAAAACCAGAGAAAAAAACAATATTATTACACAAATTTTTCAGTGTTACAATTTTATTCAAAAATTGTAATATTTAAAAATTTATATAAACACCCTTAAATTGTATAAATTTTTCTAAAAACAGAATTCTTAAAACTATAACCAAAAACAGTAATTGCTTTAAACAATTTTCTCCAAATCTGAAAACAGAACCCCACATCTCAAAATTACTTAGATATATTATCTCAAAATATTATTTTTGGAATAATAAAGAATCAAAAAAAGTTATCGACTTAAATCCTATAATAGAAACTTATATAAAATTCAACATTGATAAATTTCTACAATTAGAAGAGATACTATCTTCTCTAATCAAAACTTCACTTAATGAAGCATCTCTTGAGTTGGAAAGTAATAATACTAACTATCTAATTCAAATAATAAATGATTTGAAATAGATATTAGTGCCAATTACTTAAAGTATAATCAATTCTTTTTCTGAAAGAACATAAAAAGAACAAGTTAATTAAATTTTAAAGTTCTTATCTACTTCTAAACATACTTAACATAATCTCAACAAGAAAATAAAAGCCTATTATTATCTAGAACAAATAATCATGAAGTCTAACAATTTTTAGAGACTAAAGACCTTATTTAGAATGCTTAAGTAACAAGAAGAGCAAAAGATACTTGGAAAAATGCTCTCAAAATATATAAAGTTCTTAAATTATGATTAAGAAAAATAACTTTACAGTTGAAATATATAACTGCAACACATATTATCAAGCTGTTGGATAATAAGTACACCCAACTTCTTGAATCAATTAGAATATAGAATTTATAAGTAAATTTTTAAAAGAAACAAAAATGTTATAGAACAAATTATTATTATTTATTAGTATTAGTTATTATTATTATTATTTTATTATTATTATTTAATATTAGTTATTTCATTATTGTATTATTATTATTAATAGTTACTAGAACTTTCTAATCAATTAGTAATTGCTTAGTCACTTAGTTACTTAGTTGCCTAGTTGCTTAACTGCTTAGTCACTTAGTAATTAGTCACTTAGTAATCAATAGTTATTAGTTGCTAGAACCTTCTAATTACTTAGTAATCACTTAGTTACTTAGTTGCTTAGTTACTAAGTTTAGATGCTTAGTTACTTAATTGCTTAGTTACTTGGCCACTTAGCTACTTAGCTCAGAGATATTTAAATACTGCTAAATTTTCCAAATGTGATTAAGTAACAGACACATCTTTTTCTTTTAATATTGTAAACACATCTTGGGATTCATTAAGAACAAAAACCTAAGAATAGCCCTTCTTGTTATTACTTTAATAAATGGCTTTTGAATATATATTGCATTAATACTCTCTCTCTAAAGTAATTTTTACAGGCAAAATTTATCTCCTCTTAGTGAAATAAAGTAAAGTTATTAGTATTGGATTACTTTTTCCAAACTGCCTCAGAGAAGGGTATAGTTTTTTGACAACATCTAACAGAAACTATACTTCTTTCTTGAACACTACATATATCTGTAAAGAATTCTCTATGCTGTGTTATTGTTATAATGTGAAAATTAAAAAGTCTTTTATCTATAACAATACATTATTACTTTTGAATTATCATTACTTTGAACTTCATGCTTACTTTTATTATAAATACTACTACTAGAATCATTAGAGACAATGTTACTGAAATCATCTATGGCAATGTTAAAAATATTAAGAATGATAATAACAGAATTGTCAAATATAATATTACTAAAATTATCAGAAGTAATTTTGAAGTTATTCAAAACAATTACATCAAAATTGATTAAAGTAGATATGCCAGAATCATCTGAAGTAATGTTACTGGTTTGGACTATTTTTTATTTATTTTTTTTTAGTATTAAGATGACCTCTTTGGTCTTTTGACTTTTATTAATCACTTATTAGTATTGTGGTTCAA